CCACTGAGCCACACCTCAGCCCCTCACTGGGGGATTCTAGGCAGGAGCTCTACCACTGAGCCACACCCCAGCCCCTCACTGGGGGATTCTAGGCAGGGGCTCTACCACTGAGCCACACCCCAGCCCCTCACTGGGGGATTCTAGGCAGGAGCTCTACCACTGAGCCACACCCCAGCCCCTCACTGGGGGATCCAAGCAAGAGTTTCTACTTCTGAGTGACATCCCAGTCCTTCACTTGCAGATTCCAACAAGGTGCTCTCTGTTGATCTGTGCCCTCAGCCCAAAAGACAATAGATTAAAACAAACAACGATGACAACAAGTATCATACTCTTCCACTGTAGCCCAGGCTAGCCTCAACCTCTTGCCTCAGCCTCCCCACTGCGAGATTACAAGCATGAACATCCAAGCCCAGCTCACCTTCCTGCTTTTTATTGCGTCTTTCTTAACCTGAGCAGCCCCACCTCATAGGGAAGACTTTGCATTGCCCTGATACTTGGGGTAGCCTTAGGGCAGCCCATGCCTTGTCCCAGGCTATCTCCCCTACCTACTTTATAAGGTTTTTTTTTTTTTTCAAGATTTTTATTTACCTTTTATTACGTGCATGTGTCTCTGTGGTGTGTGTGTGTGTGTGTGTGTGTGTGTGTGTGTGTGTGAGTGTGTGTGTATGATGTGCACCTGAGTGCAGGTGCCCTTGGAGGCCGGAGGCATCAGCTCCTCATGGGGCTGGAGCTGCAGCTGTAAGCCACCACATGTGGGCTTGGGAAGCGAACTCAGATCCTCGGCAAGAGCAATTGGTGCTCTTCTCTTAACTGCGGATCCTTCTCTCCAGTACTTTCCTGACCCGTGCTTTCACACTCCTGCATCGGCGGGCGGGTTGAGCACCTCACAGGATCAGCGGTGACACCTACCTCCTACCCCTCCTCCCTCCCCCCTCTGATGGCCCCGCCCCCAGGAAGCCCCTTTGTGCCCTACGTCACTCTGGGTCAGGCGCCTCCCTTGGGCTCCCACTACTGTTCATATTGTCCCCTCTTTCATGGCTCCTCTCCCCAGCACCGGACTCTCTAGGCTAGTTTCAGCTGCGTCTAGGGGAGGGCGTCCAGGAGAAGGTGTCAGAGATGTCTGGAGGACCAGTCCCTCCCTGGCACTCCCGGGGGCTCTCCCACTGCCTTGGCCCCGAGGCTTAGGAACGGAGCCACAGGTTGGGTTCCAGGCACAGGGGCTGAGGGGCCAAGCTGAGCCCAGGGGCTCCATGACACGCTTTGAGGAACTTGGCTTGTTTTCCTTGAGGAGCCTAGGGGGAGAGGGTTGGAGAGGGAGAGGCTGGTGATTAATGGCCATTCCTCTCGTCCCTCATTGGAGGGAAGCCAGGCAGAAGAATGGTTGTCAGGGCGACGCATTCTTTTCTTTCTCTGGCCTGTGTCTCTCACAAGGATTGGGAGGTCAAGAGTGCAGTATGAGATGCCAAAGGACCCTGGACATCTTCTGGGTTAAATGTTCATCTCACAGAGGGCAAGTGGAAGCCGGAAAAGATGGGCAGGGCTTCCTGGTGGGGCTAACCCAGCAACCGAGGCAGAGAGGCGGGTGTGGGCTCCACAGGACTCAGAGACATCTGGGCTGGGATAAGCAAGGAGGGGTGGGAGGGAGGGGCGGTCAGGACTGGGGTTCAGTAGCTCTGGCTTTTCTAGCTATCCCTGTCTGACCTCTGACCTCTAAACCCTCATTCACATCTCATACTCACACGCCATTTCTTTCTCTTCCTTCTCTCTCTCTCTCTCTCTCTCTCTCTCTCTCTCTCTCTCTCAAAACAGGGTCTTGTTCTATAGCCCAGGCTGACCTAGAACTTGAAGTAATCTTCCTCCTTAACACCCCCCCCCCGCCCCCCCGCTAGAATTATAGGCATGTCTTCAAAAAAATTGTTTTTGTTTTGTTTTTTGAGACAGGGTTCTCTGTGTAGCCTTGGCTGTCCTGGATCTCGCTCTGTAGACCAGGCTGGACTCGAACTCACAGAGATCCACCTGCCTCTGCCTCCCGAGTGCTGGGATTCAAGGTGTGTGCCACCACCATCTAGCCAAAAGTATTTTTAAGTTATTATTTTATTGTATGTGTATGGAGTGTTTTGCCTGCATGTGTGTCTGTGCACCATATGTGTGCCTGGTGCCTATGGAGGCCAGAAGAAGGCATCAGATCCCCTGGAACCCAGGTTAGCGATGGTTGTGTGGTTGTGAGCCACCGTGGTGGTGCAGGGTCCTCTGGAACAGCCAGTTTTCTTAACCACTGAGTCACCTCTCTCCGACCCCTAAGACAACTTTTATTGCATTTATTTATCGTATGTGTGTGTGTGTGTGTGTGTGTGTGTGTGTGTGTATGGGTGTGTGCATGGAGGAAGAGGCTGTGCTCAGGCCACAGCACATGCATGAAGGTCAGAGGACAACTTTTAGGAGTTGAGTCTCTCCTTCCCCGTGTGGGTTCGGGGGACTGGATTTGTGTCCTGGGGCTCGGCAGCCTTTACGGGTAGATGAGCGAGGGAGAGAGTTTCGTGAGGTGTGTTCCCACCCTGTGTTCCAACAGCTCTGATCTGCTGACTGATGAATCACTGTGGAGTCATACGCCCCAGTCCTGGATGTTTTTCCTTTTCTCACAAAGTACTTGTTTCTGACTGATGAGCCATGAAATAATGGGCCAATGGGTATCATGACACTTCCTTATATAGTGTCCTCAGGGATCATTTAAAAAAAATGTCATTTAATAAAAAGTTCTTGGCACCAGGGACCGTAGTAAAGCCCCTGCCTAGAATCCCCCAGTGAGGGGCTGGGGTGTGGCTCAGTGGTAGAGCCCCTGCCTAGAATCCCCCAGTGA